GCGGCGGGGCCCCGCCCGGCGGATCGGGCCCGGGCTGCGCCGCCGCCGAGTGCCTGAGCCGCCGCCTCTCCCCTCCCCTCCCCGCAGCGCTGTGCCTCGACGCCTCGTCCATCCGGTCCTCCGAAGGGGGCATCGCGGTCGACAGCGAGGGTGAGTCTGCCGGCGAGCCCCGGGGGGCGTCCTGGCCGCCTTGCCCGCCCCACCGACCGCTCCTTTCCCTCCCCAGAGATCTGCGAGCAGGCCGTCCCCGCCGGCTTCGGCCCCCACTTCTCCGGCCGCCCCACCGAGGCCGGGTACGAGTGCGTCACGCGGTGTGCGCAGGGCCGCTGGGATTCGCCGCTGTGCCGGCACGGCCAGTGCCAGGTCCCCATCTCGGGGCCGCAGTGCTAGTAAGTGTGCGTGCCAGGGGCGTGGGGACCGAGCGCCGCTGGCCGGGGCTGCTGCCTCGTGCTCCGCGGAAGGCACTGGGGTCCCGCCATGGCTGCGGCAGCGCTTGGCCTGGCCTCTCTCCGTGCCCTCTTTCCGGATCTGCCCCAACTTCTGGGGATGGGAGGGAGAGGCTGTCGCCATGTGGGGGGGGGGTCGCAGGTGGTCCAGCAGGTGCCCCACAGCTGACTGCTCTTCCTTGGCAGCTGCCCCAGCACCGAGGCCTCCTGGTTCCTGGGGGATGACTGCAGTGTGCACATCAGCAAGGTGGGCCTGAGCATCGGCCTCCCGCTCAGCATCACGGCTGCTCTGGCCGTGGCCCTGGCCGTGGTAAGCCTCGGGGGGCGTGGGCTGCTGCTGGGGCTCCGGGCTGTGCTCGTGGCGCTCTTAGGTGGGGCCAGAGGGGCCCAGGCCGGCCGGCTGCCCTCTGCTGGGAGCACTGGGCAGGGGAGCCTTGAGAAATGGGGGGGGGGAGGCAGGAGGAGCCAGCTTTTGATGGGGTAACTTCCGCGAGGGACCGTGGGAATGCCGCGGGCTCCTCTGGCTTTGACCGGGTGCCCCGTGGTCTCCCGACAAGCGAGCCAGCCCCAGGCGGGCTGGACGGAGCGGCGACCAGGGGGCTCCGCCGCTGGCTGCCGAATCGGAAGCGAAGAGTGCTCATCTCGGCACCCTCTCAAACGGCGGGGGGGGGGGGGAGCAGATGGTCCAGTCCTGGGCCCACCGCTCTTCCACACAGTCATTGCCGGTTGGGTGAGGAAGCGCACGGAACAAGGCCCAGCCTTGCAGAGGACACAAATTCTGGTGGGACAGCGAATACCCTGGAAGACAGACACCAGATTCAAAGCGCTCTTGGAAGGCTGACCATAGTTGGCCTCGCCAGGAGTCCTGGCCTGGTTCTGGGCACCGCGGTTTGAGAGAGACGCAGACGAGCTGGAAGGGGCTCGGGGGGGGGGGCGATGGGCGTGACTGGAGACAGAGCCCTGGGAGGAGAGGGTCAAAGTAACTGGGCATGTTCAGCCCGGAGAAGGGAAGGCTGGGGGGTCGCGCTAGCCCCCTGCGAGTCCGCGAGGGGCTGTCGCAAAGAGGAGGGCCCGGCTCTCCTCCGGCACCGCAGAGCGCAGGGCATGGAGTGGCGGGCTCGGGTTAGGGGAAGCCACATGCCAGCCGGACACCCGGAGAAACTCCCCGATGTCCACGCACTGGCCCAGCTGCCTGGGGAGCTCGTGGGCTGGAGGCCCTCGTGGGGCAGCGGGGCGGCCGTCCGAGGGGGTGGCTTGGCTTGGAGTCCTGCACTGAGCAGGGGCCGCTCCTGATGGCCCCCAGCTCCTCCCCACCTGCTATCCTGTGATTCTGTGAGGGGAGGGGGGCCTAGAGGGCTGGCAGCGCCCCCTTCTGCTTGGGGGAAAGGGGGACCTGGGGCTGTTCCAGAAGACAACTGCGGGAAGGGGAACGGCCGCTGCAGACCGGGCCTGCCAGGGGGCGGTTTGGGGCCGTGTCTGCTGGGGAAACCGCCCCCCCCCCCCCGCACCGGCTGAGGGCGCTTCTCCCCACTCCTCTTTCCTGCTCCGGCTCCCCCCAGGTGCAGCTCCGGAAATGACCGCCCGCCCGCTGTTCCCCGAGGACGTCCCGGAAAGGAGGCTCAGCAGAAACGGGGAAGGAGCGTTCTGTGCACACCGGGACCCAGCACGGGCACCCTCGCAACCCTGTTCCCCAGCCGCTGGCTATCGGAGCCTGTGCTATTGGAGGGGCACGCGGCCCTGAGGACTAGGAGCGTGGGCAGCAAGAACTCGACCAACCCCCTTCGAATTCATGGTTGCAACTAAACCAGGTCCCCCCTACTGGGGAAGGGTCTTCTGGAGTCCTGGAAGCCGCACTCGGACTGCCAGGCGGGGAGGAGGCCAAGCCAGCCCTCCTCAGCCCAGGACGCCCCCCCCACCAGTCCGGTGGCCACACAGGGACCAGATGTGCCGGCGGCCCTCGGCACTTCCCTGCACAGACCTGTGCCTGCTGGGGGGGGGGGCCCGGCAACATGCCCTCCCAGCGCTGCCCACTCTTGCCTTGCGGCTCTCGGAAGGGGGGCCCGCGAGCCCCGGGGCCGCCCACCCCTTGACGGGGCCCCTTCCAGCGCGGACGCAGACATGGGCCCCTGCTGTGGGAGGGCTTTGCCTGGGCCTTGCTCTGCCTGCGTAGTGCCTCGGGCTTCAGCTCCGTGCCAAGAATAAAGGCGAGGATACCTCTGAGCATGTGCAGTGTGTGTCGCTGTGCGTGGTCGATTAGAGCCCCCGCTGCTCTGCGCTCTGACCTAGCTGCAGGGCGATCGAGGGCCGAGCACCCCGTTTCTTTCCGGACCACGTGCGTCTCCTTGTGGCCCCACGGGCAAAGTCGGCAACGCGCAGACCGACCCTCGCCTGGAATTCGCTGGTGTGCTCCGGCGGCCAGCGAACCTCCGCCTCTGGCTCGCTTCCGCTTCGGAATCCGGCGCGAAGGTCGGGCCTTCCCCGCTCCGGGTCGGGTCGTATTTTCTGCCGCACCTCTTTTGAGCATGCTCTGCCCATGGGGGACAGCAGAACCCTCCTTGGCGCCTCCTTTCGTGGGGAGCCGCGTGTGCAGTGAACATTTCCGGTCCGTGGGCCTTTGTGTTCTTTTCCCTGCTTGTTGGCACGTGTTCTTTAGGATCGGGACTGATTCGTTGTCCGTCGCTTGCAGTAGTTCGGGTGGAACGGCAGCGCTCGGGTTGCTTTGTCGCAAGTCTTTTCAGAGCAGCTCTTACTTCACTTCCGAATAGCGCAGCCTCTTCCTCACTGGGTTCCTCTTTGAAGGAGCCTGTCGTCCTTCCATCTCTTCTGCACAGTTCTTCAGTATATTCTCCCTACCTTCTCTTCCTTTTCTCCGCCAGGTAGTGTGTTCCCTTGCTTGCCATTTAGCCTTCCCAATCTAGGTTTGACTCTCCCTTTGATTTCCTGGATCTTTGGGAAGCCGGCTGCTGTTTTTCCTCCTCTGTTTCTCTTGTTTCTTTTTGTCTCTGCGTGACAGTGACAGAATTCAGGATTCTATCCCTCTTTCTGTCGCCTTTTGCTTCTGCTTCTTGCCTGCCCTTGGCAACTGTGTCTCTTCTGTCACCATCGGAGCTTTTTCTTTCGTGTTGCTGCAGGAATGGTCTTCTGGCTTCTTCTTGAACAGCATCTGTGGGTTTCAGTCCACCATTCTTCTGGCTCAGCATCCATTAAACTGAGCAATGCAAATCAGTTCTTTGGGGGAGTAACTTGAGCGGTATTTCAGCCCTGTGTTTCTCCTGGTGCAGCTTGTCTCTGTATGTTGAAATGGTCACGATGGCAGCCTGCTCCGGGTCCGTTTTGGCAGCGAAATGTGGCTTCTCCACCTTCTGCTTCCAGTTACATAACCGATCCGTTCTCTGCGTGGCCATCTGGAGAAGGCCACGTACGCCAACCGTCTGAGCAGGTGCCTGAACCATGTGCCTGCAACGGACAGGCATTCGGTTTCCCAAAATGCTGTCAGTCGGTCAATCGCCTGCTTCATTTCTTACCCCGGACAAATTCCCCTGCGACATTTGAGTCGGCTTCACTTGCTGCTTTTGCACCCCACTCACCTCAGCGTGGAGCACAAAAACAACCCCCTCGGTTCAATATCCGACCCCGAGACAGGCAGCACCAGCTGGGATGAGCTCCTCCCAGTCTTCCAACACACCCGACGTAATGATGAGCGGCAGAAGATGCGATAGCAGAAAATATTCCTCAATAAAAGCAAGACTCGCTTACCAGCAAAGGGGAATCATAATCAGCAGGAAGTTTCAGTTACTCTTGTGCATTATCACCTGGATCCACATCAGCGCTTAAAACGTCCCCTTCCAGGCTTATCTTTACAACTCTGACCTTATTGACAGCGGTTTATTCTATACCGTCATTCCCCTTGTGTCCTTCTGACGGAGCAGTAAGTAACTGATCTTTACGATATGTTCATCAGGACAAAATGCTTTAATCTTCAGCTGCATTTTCTCCTGAACACTTGCATAACGCCTTCCAGGGAAATCTTGAGAAACTTGAACATTGAGCTAAAAGCAGCAGAATGAGATTCAACAGGGACCAGTGCCAAGTCACGCAGGAAAAAGAAACCAAAGGCATCGAAACAGGATGGGGAAAACGTGGCTCAACAGGACTGAACAAGAAAAAGATCTCAGAGCAATTGTGGGGAATAGGCTAAACATGAGCCAACAATGCGATGCGGCCGCCAAAAGGGCAAATGCTCTTTTGGGATGCATTAACAGAAGTATGACTTCCAAATCACGGGAAGTAGTCGTTCCCCCATACTCCTCACTAGTCAGACTTCACCTGGAATCCTGTGTCCAGTTCTGGGCACCAAGATTTCAGAAAGATGCAGAACGATTAGAAAGGGTCCCGCAGAGGGTGACAAAATGATCCAGGGTTTGGAAACGCTGCCCTGTGAGGAGAGACTGAGGGAACTGGGCATGTTCAGCCTTGAGAAGGGAAGGCTGAGGGGAGACATGAATCATAGAAACATAGAAACAGAACAAGTCGGAAGGGGTCTCCCGGGCCATCTAGTCTGACCTCCGGCACCAGCCGGCTCCGCTCACGACATGCCCACCAATCCCTCTATAAGTACCTCAGAGGCTGTCACAGAGGAAGGCCAAGATCTCTCCTTGCTGATGCCAGAGTGCAGGACACTGAATAATCAATTCAGGCTGCAACAACCCAGATTCAGGCTGGACATCAGGAAAAGCTTCCTCACCGTCAGAGCAACAGGGCAGTGGGACCAGCTGCCTGGAGAGGTGGGGGCTCCCCCACACTGGAGACATTCAGAAAGAACCTGGGCAGCCCTCTGAGTGGGGTGGTGTGAACTGGTGTCCTGCAACAGCGGGGGGTGGACCTGATGGCCTTACTGGCCCCTTCCAACTCTACTATTCTATGATTCTATACCATGCTAAAGAGAACCCTGTGAAAATCGGGGACAGCCCCTCGGTCTTTTCAAAGAGCCTTTTCCACCCCAGACCGCTGGGCCTGCTGTGCTGCTCCGTGCCAGAGGAGCCCTGCGAGGGGGTGGCTTTCCATGCATGCCTTCTGGGAAAGCCCGAGGCCATTGCGCCCTTTTCCCGTGCCCTTCTCCACTCTCTGCCACGGGTCTCTCCTCCTCCTCTTCCCGGTGAGCAAGAATTCCCAGCAGCAGCGTGTGTTCGCCTCGTGTGCCTCTTCCAGGATTGCAGAAGTGCCGAAGCCGACGCTCGTCACGCAAAACGTTTCTGCCGTTCCGAGATTGGGCAACGGGGCGCTTTGCTGAGGGCTTGGTGCACACGGGGCAGAAGTCCCATTGGCAGAGGCCTGGCTTGGCGGGGTGGCCCCGATCCGCTCCGCAGGCAGAGGGCCCCCGGCTCACACGCTGGGGGCCGAGGGCCACCGCTGCGCTCACGGCCGGCAGGACGGGCCGCGCGGGCAGAGGGGCCCGGCGGGGTGCCGGGCCGCTCCCTCCGGGCCTCTGCCGTAAGCCCCTGTGGGAGGCTGGAGCCCTGAGCAGGCACCTGCCCCTGGCCATCCTGATTGGTGCCCCAGCGGCTGCCGAGAGGGTCCCGTGGGGAGGGCCCCGCCAGTCCCCCCGGCAAGCACCCTCTGGCGGAGCGTGCGGTGAAGGGGCAGCCAGGGGGGCCTCCCAGCAAGCGAGCACAAGCCTGTCGGGAGAGTCCGGCAGCTGGATCGGGCCTCAGGCCACAGCCCAGCCTCCTCTCTGCGCAGCAGCCATCCAGCTCCCCACAGGGCCCTCACGGGGGCTGCAGCCCCCTGCCCAGGCTTCACTGATTCAGGCGTAGCCCCACGTGCCCCGAAACATTTCCCGGTGGCTAACAGAAAGTGTCCTGCACCAGCAGGGCTTGGACCCGGGGGCCTGCTGGCCCCTTCCAGCGCGACTGTTCTGAGGCAATGGAAACGGAAGCATCACTTCCGCTTCCTCGTCCGCCTCGAGGCCTCTCCGCTGCGCCCGGCCAGCCGGCCCTGCAACGGCACGGCGGCATTTTGGGAAAGCCGCCTTGGTGGTTGTGGACGTCGGCCCTACGCCGATGTGTCAGCTTGGCTTCTGGGGCCTCGGGAAAAACACTCTTCCACAGAGCGCTGCCTCTCCCCCAGCACGGCCTCCTGGGCTTCCCGGTCAGGTGGCCGTGGCGACAGCGACCCCCATGCAAGCCATGATGGAGCCCCCTGCCCTGGTGACACGGGACACTGCCTCCAAGGCCCGCAGCGCCTGGTCCCGCCCTGGTGCCACCCAGCTCCGCCCCACCAGGCCCACAGACGTGGACGAGCTCGGCCAGTATCCACGGGACTGGGGCCGAGCCTGGGCCGGTGGCACGGCTGCTCTCGCTGCTGCGTGGCCGAGGGCCTGGCCAACGCGCAGGACGGACCTCGTCGGCTCTCCTCCGCGTCGAGGCGGCATTTGTGGCTTCTGCCTAGCAGGAGCTCACTCAGGGTCAGGGTCCCCGTGGCCCACCGGGAAGGGGGGGGTACTGCCTGCTCCAGGTGTCTGTGGCGCATGACGTTCTCCCGGGGCGTTGTGGCTCCCAGGAAGAGCTGCTGCCACGGAGAGCCTCAGCCGGCTCTTGAGCCCTCGGCACCTGCCGGGCGATTTGCATGACGCCGCCCTTCGCCTTCTGCCTCCCATCCAGGGAGACGCACCTGCCCCGGACGTCCAGCCCGTTCGCCATCGGCCCTCGCGTCTCCTGCTCCACGCTGCCTCTGCGGGGACCCTGGGACCTGCCCGCCACAGGGCCTCTGGGGCAGCGGCCGCTCCCTCGCCCACGCCAGCGCCCCACTGCTTCTGCCCTCCTGGCGCGAGGGGCCACGCTCCTGCGAGCGGCTCTCCGGCGTGGCATGGACCCTGTTCGGGCAAGCGGGATGTTTGCGCAGCCCCGAGAGTGCCGGAGCCCGACTGGCCTGCCCAGCCCAGCCCGGCCCGCTAATGCGGAGGTGCCGCCTAAGATAAGGCAACCAGTCGAGGATCCCTCGCCCTGTTTGCGGGACCAACTGTCAGGGCGGGGAAAGCAAGGAGGCACGAAGCGAGCCCCGCGGGGCTGGCAGGAAGGAGAGGCCGGTGCATCTGTGCAGGGTCTCCTGCTCCCTTGGCTGCCTTAAGGGACGAGGGGGGAACCTGCCTCTCTGGTCCTGCTGGGAGGGAGGGAGGGAGGGAGGAGGGGTCATGTGACCTCATGCCTGTCTGGGCAGGGTGG